TCTCCGCTTCTAAATTAAAAGTCGCTATGATTTATTTGGTACACATCGAATTTGCCATGTATCTAGATATACATTATTTATAGATACAAAGTAAATTCGATGAACAAAAAAGTCAAAGCGGCTTATAATTTGGAATAAAGGAGTACATAGGACGGGAAAAAAATACAGTGGAGACAGTCCATAGATCGATGATAGGCGCCTATTATGGATTTGCGGCACATAAGCATGTGCATGCATCTAATTACGTAAAAAAATACATTTGGTGTATACGTATGAGCACGTGTCATGAATCTATGGTTACTCCATGGGAACTATTCCCACTAAGGGCATGTTCGGTTACCTTGGAATGGACACCTAGAACGATTCTCAGCCAGAACGCTTGTCTAATTTGTATAACATTGATCAGCAGGAATAATTCCTGGCCTCATTGCACACTAACCGAACATGCCCTAAACTTTTTTTTTTCTGAATTCCTTCTAGCTCTTTAGGCCTCCTTTGGAATGGACGCAAGACTATGAAAAACAAAGAAATTGGTAGGAATATGTATATATACAAAGTAGATGATTCAAAAAACATAAGAATTTTATAGGAACAACACATGCATCGCGCAGCTTGCCTCGATTCTTCATATAATTCAAAAAACAATAAATGAAGTTTGTGTGCTAGACGTTTTGTTTTCTTCTTTTAGATAGATGAAATTTTATTCGAGTCCCTCCGAGAATTTGTAGTCCTATGATTTGTTTTTAAAATCTATGAAAATAAAAGTTAATCTAATTTTCTCATAAGCAATTTATACAAACCAAAGGGCTCTTCATTGAATGATCCATAGAAATGGGAATATACCGTTTTTTGTCACCTCTATTCCCAGGAGATCTTTTTCTCCTTCGTCTTCTTCTCTATTTGCTTCCTTCATGGATTAATGTTGGGAATAGAGTCAAATCCTCCAGCCAAATTGGCAAGGAACTCCAACCTTGGAATCGGCAAGATACAAGAACTACGGAAACGGTGTATAGAGACGGTCAAAATTGATTTATAGAGTAAGTATATCCATAGAAATCATCGATTTCAATGGACGGGTATCCAACCGCCACATAAAATTTTCTAAGAAACATGGCCTACTGAAACACGTTGTGTTTTCTCATGCTAAAACCCCTCTAAAATTTGTTTTTAAAAAAAATTATGACAAAATTAAATTTGTTTTCTTGTTTATATGCAAAACCATTTTTGAAATGTTTTTCAAAGCTTGCACGAAGAGTTCACCTTATGCATTTTGAGTTTTGTGTGTTTTCTGGATTTTTATTTATGTCACCAAAAAACATTTCCTTGAATTTCCCAAACCCATCTTATTATACTAGTAAATCCCCTTCCTTAAAAGAGAAATCATTTTCCTTCTCTCCTACCATCTCGGGCTCAAACCCTTTACCAAGCCCAGGCGACCAGCCACCTTCTCCTTTATATTCCTGCGCGGGCCGCGCCTTCCTTCTCCCGGCCCGCTGGAAACCCACCTCCTCGTCTGTGTGCGCCGGCCCGACATCAGCTGGGCCCGTCTCCCTTTCCTATTCTTCCCTAGGCCGGCCAGTAGTGCACTCGGCCCATTGCAGCCCGGCAGTGACAGCATCCCTCTCGCTGCAGCGACTGAGCGCATGCCCGCACCCGTCGTCTTCCCGGCGCCTTCTTCCCGTCCCGTCCCCTTCTCCCGGTCGCTTGAGCACGCCCTCTCCTTCCTTTTGTCTACCTTTCCTGGCGCCCGTGGAAGAAGCGACCGAAGACTGCCGCACTGCGGCCGCCCGCCGCTCCGTTGCTCCCTCCGCTCTCTATGCTTTCTCTGTCACTCGGATAGGACACAAGGGCCGTGAATGGAAGGTGCCGTCCAGGTCCAGCGTCGCTCCAGGCTCCAGCCAATGGGCGAACACCACGTTGACGAACAGGTCCACACGACAGCCACTCCACCTCCATCTCATCCCTTCTTCCATCTCCGTGGACTTGGCTCACATGAACAACGCATAGCAAGGCGAGTCCACACTCAACAGCATAGTGCACAACGGGTCCACGACACAGTGCCAAACGCCGGACCCCATAGCAGTGGGACCGCGCATCAGCGACAGTGCAAAAGGAAGCTGCTACACGCACCCGGGAAGCGTACACAGGAACGGTGTAGCCCTTCCTTTCCAAAAAATCCCAAAAAAAAAACTCCAATAAATACTATACCCAGTCTAGAGCGTACTTATTCTTTTCCCACATATTTACATTCCCCGAAATTCCAGAAATATTTTTCAAAATCCTTTCGCCTTTTATCGATAAACCTTTTAAAGTCCATATCTCCTTCATTCCAACTCTGAGTTTCTTGATTCTTGCACCAAATATTCTCTACAACCAAGCCCTACACACTCATATCCTTTCCATATTTTTTTTGGCCCCGTTCGGCTTACCCAAAAACGGCACTATTCAACTTGTTTTTTCATCTGGAACAATATCTTTCTCTCACAACATTTCAGCCAGAACAGTGTTTTTTAGCCAAATTCAGCCAGCCGAACGGGGCCTTTGTTCCCATTTAAATTCTTGTTTGATTTTATTTTGTTTTTTCTTCGTGTTTAATTTGTTCGTCCTTTTCCTATATAGAGCAAACCCATAGTTGTAGCCATCCACCCAACCCTTCCGTAGCACCGTATATTTGTGCATGCATGTACACTATGACACGTACCTGAATACTCGAATATATACACACATGTCCCTTGCATAACATGATAGGTTGCACATATAGACATACCCTGTTGAGTATATATATACACGTACACATCGTCATGCCTAATATATACACACATGTCCCTAGGCATATAAGTAAAGTATGCGTACACATATGTGTCGCTAACCCTAGCAATCCACGCTAACCTAGCCCATATCCTCCTAACTACCTAAGCCCTAACATGTGTGTGTCTATATATATATATATATATGAAACCCCCTCCCCTAGTTAACACTGCCAAACACCACGCGCTAGTGAATCTGCAAAAGTCAAAGTCATTTATGATGACTTGATCAGGTTTTTCCCTTTAGGTTTACATAATATAGTGAGAGATAATAATGTGATCCTATTTTCTCTTCAGCGTGAATTTGCAGTGCAGTGCCTGATTTTGCGTTTCATCCGTAGCGTTTTGTTTAATGTGTGACTGAGCATAACCAACAATATGTTGCTGCTAGTTAGACGAACAGACCATCCCTGTAGTGACCCAATCTTAAAAGTCTGCCTATGCCTATGTTAGCAACAAGCATGCAAAATTACGGGAGTAGTACAATGAAAATATTTTCCAACTCAAGCATATCACTATACAAGGACAGATCTCTAAATAATGTGTACAAAACCACTACTCCAGATCAGTTTTCTGCCGTCGGCCTCGAGCACTCCCTACGGCTGGAAAAAATGGGAATTTTGCCCTTATGGGGAGTGGGCTTCGCTAGAATGCCCTTAAGTTCGTGGCTTCAGCTGAGAATGCCCTTATGAAAGATGTGTTTCACGCTTTTTTTTTGCCATTTCGTGTTTTTTTAACTTTGTAAATTTTGACCCCATCTTTTTGACCAGGCATGACCGTTTTACCCTTGTTCGCGATCGGGAAAGCGAAAGCAGATGCAATCGAGGCAGAATCGAGCAGAGAGAGAAGTGTGGGCGGTGGTGCTGCTCGCCGCCGGGCACAGAGAGAGACGGTGGGAGACAGAGAGGGGCTTGAGCGGTGGAGCTGCTCACCGCTAAGAAGAGCACTGGCGAAGCGGTGGTGGTCATTTGGACAGGCGCTTGGGCGAGTGCCCACTGGACCGAAAGGCGCTCTTCTAGCGCTGAGCACGCGGCTCCTGTTGCTCTCGGCCTCCACGACGAACAAGCGGGAAGAAACGAAGAACAACAGGTGCTGCTCGCCCTCTGCACGTGAGTGATCGGGCTGCTAGCCAAGGACGAAGCGCGCGATCAAGGCTGGCCCTGTTGTCCGACCCTATGTGAAAGCTGAAGAACATGAGACCGATGCCTTGAACAGAAAAAGGGCGACAACAAAATCGACGAAATCCGACTCAAAACTCCATGATTCGCTCCCAAATTTTGCGAGAAATTCAACTACCTACGAACTCATCCCCAACAAATCATCTCTTGGGATTAACCCAAACTCCGGAAAATCTAGAACAGGAAACCGTCGACCACAAAATCGACGAAAAACTGGACCAAATCAAAACAAATTGTGACTTTTCACAAGCCATCACAAGGGAGTTTGTGAGCATAATCTAAGAGATCATCGCCCAATTTCAACCCAAACTCTAGGAAAATTAGATCACAGCCAAGAACACGAAAAACTCCCCAAAAACGAAATTCGTTCAATTTCTTCGTGCTCGATTTGATTCAATCAAATTCACTTAAGGGGTAGCATCAACTCATGTCATAGCACGAGTCTGAGCAAAAAAGAACGAACTAAATCGGTCTCAAAATGAAGAATGGAAGCAAGAACGGGGAGGGGAAAACTAAGAAAAAAAGCTGCAAAAATAAAATCACAGACACAATCCCTATAACACGAATTGGTAGTGTCATTGTCAATTGGTGCCGTCCTTTCACAGATAAACACAGAGAAAGCAAACATTGGAACAACAGGCATTCTAGGCCAAACCCTAGAACAAGAATCGAAGTCATCGAAGGGACGAATCAGAGAGGCAAAAGCAAAATCCCAAAATACAAGAGGAAACGGGAGCACCTGAGACTGCTCTGTGCCAACCGCGGCACCGCCGAGACCCACCGGCACCGGGCACGAGCACCATGAGCGGCCACAGCAGGAGAGGAGGCGGCCCACTGGCCCGCCATGATTTGCTCCTTCACTGTCTCCGCCTTCCTGAGCTCAAATTAAAATAAAATGGGGTCGCATGTGGATGCGATGGGTGCGCTAAACGTCAAGAGAGGCAAATGGTGTGTGTGTGTTGCTGCCTTACTTGTTTGCTTCGTCGCCGGGCGTTGTCGTCCAGCCTCGACACGCTCAGGAGCAGCGGCGTGTGGGAGAGCTGCACCAGCCAGAGCGCACTTTGATCAGCTGTGCTGTCCATTCATTTGCGATTTGTCCACAGACACGAGAAATGGCCAATCTCACCGTGAAATCCTCCGGCGAGATCCAGCTATCCCCAAGCGCCACACCTGCCACAGACGGAACGAGAATTTCACTTCATCGATCGGATGGAAGTGGAACCACCTTTAGGTTATGTACCTCCGAGCGTGATGTTGAGCTCGCCGGCGCGGACGGCCCGGGCGACGGACGCGCCGAGCGTGGCGGCGTACTTGCCGCCGTAGGACTCGGCGACCAGGAAAAGCGGGCTGGTCGCCAGGGTGGGCACCTCCTTCACCAGCGCCCTGACCACCGTGGTCATGTCCGCGGCCTGCTGCCAGTCGCTGGTCACGAACAGGCTGTCGTCCTCCACGTAGCTGTACCCTGTGCCGACCGGGTTGTCCTGCGCGGCGCCCGGCATGAAAGTCGTCGGTCAGCGTCAGCGAGGACTATGTAAATAAACATCAGTACATCACGATGGCAAAGGTGTAGAAGAAGTGGGGCAGACAGAATAGAGAGGGAGCCCCATCAGCTATGGCTGCATCTTTCAGTCTGACTCACCACAAAGATGAGGTCGGCCTTCTGGAGCCACGTCGAGTTGCGCGGCTTCAGGTCCACGTCCAGCGGCCCCATCTCCAGGAAGTTGCCGAGCCCGACCCCGGACGCGCCCTGCATAGCACGGTCGTCGATCACTCGTCAGGCCGTGTTCGATCGTTCTCGTGAAGCAGAGCAGAGGACCCTGTGCCCAAGTTGTGGTGTGAGGAGGAGAGAGATAGGGCAGCAGCTAGCTGTGTACCGGACCGCCCTGCAGCCAGAGAACGGTCGGCCATGGCGTGGACGGCGTCGACGTTCTCTGCGGGCTCTTGTAGTACCACCAGAACAGGTGCGCCTCTGCGAAGCAAGCACAGATATAGCTTCGCCTTCAACGGAGGAAATGAAGAAAGGTTTTGATACGCGACGAGCGAGAGAGAGGAGTGTTACGTACTTGACCGGACCGCGGCCTGCTAGTTCTCCTCCAGCGCGGCCTTCTAGTCGTCCCTCTGCGCGACCGCAGCTTGCCGAGGTTGGGCTTTTGTACGCCGTCGTGTGTGGTCCGCCTCCTCCGCACGCACTCAGACCAAGTGGGGTCGCTCGATTTCTCTGATTTAAATTTGGAGGAACAGAGTGAACCTGGGTCTACAGGGAATATTCCCCTATTGGGATGAACCCAACCCACAGGCTCCTCAAACCAAACAGCCCAAAAAAAACAGGCTCAACCCAACCCAACCCGCTTTGGACCGTCCAACCAAACACATGCTCAAAATTTCTACTAAACCTTCATTTCGGAGGCTAGATGACCATACTTTTCTGTTTTATCTATCCCAATACCCGTGCTCATCCATATTGCTCCATGCGCTCTACTGCTCGCTGCCTCCTCCCCTGGTCTCTCTCTCTCTCTCTCTCTCTCTCTCTTGTGTGTGTGTGTGTGTGTGGCCGCGCCCCATCTCCCTTGGTGTTGCCTCCGCCTCGGTGTGGCCCCTTCCCCCTTGGCGCACCCCTTCCTCCTCAGCACAACCTTCGCTTCCCTTAGCATGGCCCCATCCTCCTAAAGCAACTACACTCCGACATGATCTCCTCCTGCCTAGCACGACCTTCCTTTCCCAGGTGCTGCCCTCTCTCCTAGCGTGGCCCCTTCACCCCATGTGGCCCCTTAACCCTTAGCGCCACCTCCTCCACCCTCGCACAACCCCTTTCTCGTTGATTTAGCCTCCTCTTCCCCTAGCATGGCCCCTCCTATTAGAGCGGCTACACCTTGACATGACCTCCTCCTTGGCATGGGCCCTTTTTCCTGGCGCAGACCCCTCCTCCTGGCGAGGCCGCACACCTGCATCCACCGTCCTTCCATCCTCATTTCCAAGGTTAATCAAATTTCCCTTTCCTGCAATTTTGAATTGCATTCTCGGTTCAAAGTTGCATTTGCATTTCATAATTTATATACATACCAATACATTCTGGTAATCTTTTAATTCTATATGGTTTTCACTGATGATGTCCATTCATAACTCCACATAGTTTGATTTGAATATTTGTCATTTGTATAAACTTGTGTGCTTCAGTTCACATTAGTGGATTTGAAATACCTCGTTTGAATTTGAATATTAGTCATTTGTAGAAACACTTAGAATTATTGTTTGAATTTATGTTGGGTCAAATATTTGAATATTTGTTGCATTGTGGGTCACACGAGAGCAATTATATTGCTAGCAGAAGTTTACATACTGATTAATTCATCTTGTTTTTTCTGATTGCAATAGTATGTATTCTTTTTTTTGCGAGACCCAGTTACAGACACAGACGCTCACACACGAGCGCACATTCACCCCTATGAACGCACGCACCCTACCCATATGAGCACCTCCGAAGAACTGAGCTATACAAGCGCGTCGCCTACCACTGAAAGATTAGTGTCGTTAAATTCTGGAATAAATTCAGGAAAATGCGAACACCCGCGTCAAGTCAGGGACTTGCGCCCTGTTCGTTTGGGCTGGTTTGACTTATAAGCCAGGACTGAAAGTACTGTTGGCTGGTTTGGTGTGAGAGAGAAATACGGTTCGTTGGCTGATAAGCCAAATCGACCAAAGCGAACAAATTTGTTGAACCGGGTGGACAGGTTCCACCACAAGGAACCCAACCAGCTGAGCGCACAATAGTATGTATTCAAGCCCAAATTTTACATGCATGTGTATGACCACGTGCTCCATCTTCCCATACTTCTACTAAGAGTTTTTATGCACTTGTAGAGGGAAGTTTCTTTTTTTTTACACCACGGTAGAGGGAAATTGCTTGGACGACACGAGCAGAGTGTGGAGGACCTAAGAAGTTCTCTCTAGCTAGGCGCATGTGTGATGTCATGTTTATGAGCTGTTGTGTGTCCACATTGTGACGTTTCAATTGGCAACAAATAGGCCAAAAGCTAATACAAATCGATGTGATCGATAAGCGATAGTGGGGTTACGACGACGACAAAACATTTAGAATCTTTCCCGCAAAGAAAAAAATACTGGTGGAGCCAAAACTCCTGCGTCTGAGTTTGTTCCATCTCGTGTTCTCGTGCCGCCTGCAGCCTGCTTGTGCATGCGTACGTAATGCAATGCCCATCTGAATCGTGGCGCAAGTTATGTGGATTTTTGTTGGGGAAAATTGCAGCGTACGCTACTTCTTTCCGCTAGATCTGGCTTGTTTTCCGGTCTGGATCCCCTGTCTTCAGTGTGGTATACTCCAGTCGTGTAACGTGAGAAATACTCTAAGAGCCCATTTATATCCTTCTTATAGAAATAATTTTTTTGGTAAAAATATACTCCAATAACTGTTTTTAATTAAATTTCCAAATATATACATCCTCTATTTTGATTTTATCGCGCTAGCCAAAAATAAAGAGCAGGGATGAACCTCTAGAGCATGTATAAGATATACAAAAACTATTAGAGAGCGAAAAAAATATAAAGAGTGATTTATATTAAATGACTCTCTAAATGATAATTTAGAAAGTGAATTTAAAAAGGACTCTTGGAGATGCTCTGCATGTTTTTTGTGCTATTTCTACAGTGCAACCGTACATGTGCATAGCTTATTTATTGGGACGGAACTTAGAAGGTTACAACACCACATTACTAGATTGAGGGTTTACTCTCGCTTCTAATTAAAAGTCGCTATGATTTATTTGGTACACATCGAATTTGCCATGTATCTAGATATACATTATTTATAGATACAAAGTAAATTCGATGAACAAAAAAAGTCAAAGCGGCTTATAATTTGGAATAAAGGGAGTACATAGGACGGGAAAAAATACAGTGGAGACAGTCCATAGATCGATGATAGGCGCCTATTATGGATTTGCGGCACATAAGCATGTGCATGCATCTAATTACGTAAAAAAATACATTTGGTGTATACGTATGAGCACGTGTCATGAATCTATGGTTACTCCATGGGAACTATTCCCACTAAGGGCATGTTCGGTTACCTTGGAATGGACACCTAGAACGATTCTCAGCCAGAACGCTTGTCTAATTTGTATAACATTGATCAGCAGGAATAATTCCTGGCCTCATTGCACACTAACCGAACATGCCCTAAACTTTTTTTTTTCTGAATTCCTTCTAGCTCTTTAGGCCTCCTTTGGAATGGACGCAAGACTATGAAAAACAAAGAAATTGGTAGGAATATGTATATATACAAAGTAGATGATTCAAAAAACATAAGAATTTTATAGGAACAACACATGCATCGCGCAGCTTGCCTCGATTCTTCATATAATTCAAAAAACAATAAATGAAGTTTGTGTGCTAGACGTTTTGTTTTCTTCTTTTAGATAGATGAAATTTTATTCGAGTCCCTCCGAGAATTTGTAGTCCTATGATTTGTTTTTAAAATCTATGAAAATAAAAGTTAATCTAATTTTCTCATAAGCAATTTATACAAACCAAAGGGCTCTTCATTGAATGATCCATAGAAATGGGAATATACCGTTTTTTGTCACCTCTATTCCCAGGAGATCTTTTTCTCCTTCGTCTTCTTCTCTATTTGCTTCCTTCATGGATTAATGTTGGGAATAGAGTCAAATCCTCCAGCCAAATTGGCAAGGAACTCCAACCTTGGAATCGGCAAGATACAAGAACTACGGAAACGTGTATAGAGAGACGGTCAAAATTGATTTATAGAGTAAGTATATCCATAGAAATCATCGATTTCAATGGACGGGTATCCAACCGCCACATAAAATTTTCTAAGAAACATGGCCTACTGAAACACGTTGTGTTTTCTCATGCTAAAACCCCTCTAAAATTTGTTTTTAAAAAAAATTATGACAAAATTAAATTTGTTTTCTTGTTTATATGCAAAACCATTTTTGAAATGTTTTTCAAAGCTTGCACGAAGAGTTCACCTTATGCATTTTGAGTTTTGTGTTTTTACGGATTTTTATTTATGTCACCAAAAAACATTTCCTTGAATTTCCCAAACCCATCTTATTATACTAGTAAATCCCTTCCTTAAAAGAGAAATCATTTTCCTTCTCTCCTACCATCTCGGCTCAAACCCTTTACCAAGCCCAAAGCGACCAGCCACCCACCTTCTCCTTTATATTCTGCAAGGCTGGGCGCGCCTTTCCTTCTCCCGGCCCGCTGGAAACCCACCTCCTCGTCTGTGTGCGCCGGCCCGACATCAGCTGGGCCCGTCTCCCTTTCCTATTCTTCCCTAGGCCGGCCAGTAGTGCACTCGGCCCATTGCAGCCCTAAGAAGTGACAAAGATCCCTCTCGCTGCAGCCGATCGAGCGCATGCCCGCACCCGCTGTCTTCCGGCGCCTTCTTCCCGTCCGTCCCCTTCTCCCGGTCGCTTGAGCACGCCCTCTCCTTCCTTTTGTCTACCTTTTCTGGCGCCTGTGGAAGAAGCGATCAAGATCGCCTTGATCGCGCCGCCGCGCCGCTCCGTTGCTCCCTCCGCTCTCTATGCTTTCTCTGTCACTCGGATAGGACACAAGGGCCGTGAATGGAAGGTGCCGTCCAGGTCCAGCGTCGTCGCCTGTGCTCCAGCCAATGGGCGAACACCACGTTGATTTAACAGGTCCACACGATGACCACTCCACCTCCATCTCATCCCTTCTTCCATCTCCGTGGACTTGGCTCACATGAACAACGCATAGCAAGGCGAGTCCACACTCAACAGCATAGTGCTAACGGGTCCACGACACAGTGCCAAACGCCGGACCCCATAGCGGTGGGACCGCGATGATCAGCAACGGTGCAAAGTAAAGCTGCTACACGCACCGGGAAGCGCATACAGGAACGGTGTAGCCCTTCCTTTCCAAAAATCCCAAAAAAAAACTCCAATAAATACTATACCCAGTCTAGAGCGTATTTATTCTTTTCCCACATATTTACATTCCCGAAATTCCAGAAATATTTTTCAAAATCCTTTCGCCTTTTATCGATAAACCTTTTAAAGTCCATATCTCCTTCATTCCAACTCTCTGAGTTTCTTGATTCTTGCACCAAATATTCTCTACAACCAAGCCCTACACACTCATATCCTTTCCATTTTTTTTGGCCCCGTTCGCTTACCCAAAAAAATAGCACTATTCAACTTATTTTTCATCCTGAACAATATCTTTCTCTCACAACATTTTAGCCGGAACAGTATTTTTCAACCAAATTCAGCCAGCCCGAACGGGCCTTTGTTCCCATTTAAATTCTTGTTTGATTTTATTTTGTTTTTTTCTTCGTGTTCAATTTGTTCGTCCTTTTCCTATATAGAGCAAACCCATAGTTGTAGCCATCCACCCAACCCTTCCGTAGCACCGTATATTTGTGCATGCATGTACACTATGACACGTACCTGAATACTCAAATATATACACACATGTCCCTTGCATAACATGATAGGTTGCACATATAGACATACCCTGTTGAGTATATATATACACGTACACATCGTCATGCCTAATATATACACACATGTCCCTAGGCATATAAGTAAAGTATGCGTACACATATGTGTCGCTAACCCTAGCAATCCACGCTAACCTAGCCCATATCCTCCTAACTACCTAAGCCCCTACACATGTGTGTGTATATATATATATATATATGAAACCCCCTCCCCTAGTTAACACTGCCAAACACCACGCGCTAGTGAATCTGCAAAAGTCAAAGTCATTTATGATGACTTGATCAGGTTTTTCCCTTTAGGTTTACATAATATAGTGAGAGATAATAATGTGATCCTATTTTCTCTTCAGCGTGAATTTGCAGTGCAGTGCCTGATTTTGCGTTTCATCCGTAGCGTTTTGTTTAATGTGTGACTGAGCATAACCAACAATATGTTGCTGCTAGTTAGACGAACAGACCATCCCTGTAGTGACCCAATCTTAAAAGTCTGCCTATGCCTATGTTAGCAACAAGCATGCAAAATTACAGGAGTAGAACAATGAAAATATTTTCCAACTCAAGCATATCACTATACAAGGACAGATCTCTAAATAATGTGTACAAAACCACTACTCCAGATCAGTTTTCTGCCGTCGGCCTCGAGCACTCCCTACGGCTGGAAAAAATGGGAATTTTGCCCTTATGGGGAGTGGGCTTCGCTAGAATGCCCTTAAGTTCGTGGGCTTCGCCAGAATGCCCTTATGAAAGATGTGTTTCACGCTTTTTTTGCCATTTCGTGTTTTTTTTAACTTTGTAAATTTCTGACCCCATCTTTTTGACCAGGCATGACCGTTTTACCCTTGTTCGCGACTGGGGAAAGCGAGCAGATGCAATCGAACAGAATCGAGCAGAGACAGAAGTGTGGGCGGTGGTGCTGCTCGCCGCCGGGCACAGAGAGAGAGACGGTGGGAGACAGAGAGGGGCTTGAGCGGTGGAGCTGCTCACCGCTAAGAAGAGCACCTGGGCGAGCGGCTGGTCGCTGGACCTGGGCGCTTGGGCGAGTGCCCACCTGGACCGAGCGCTGCTCTAGCGCTGGGAGCACGCGGCTCCTGTTGCTCGGCCTCCCACGACGAACAAGCAGGAAGAAACGAAGAACAACAGGTGCTGCCTGCCTACTGCACGTGAGTGATCGGGGCTGCTAGCCAAGGACGAGCGGCGCACTGCGCTGGCCCTGTTGTCCGACCCTATGTGAAAGCTGAAGAACATGAGACCGATGCCTTGAACAGAAAAAAAGGGCGACAACAAAATCGATTTAAATCCGACTCAAAACTCCATGATTCGCTCCCAAATTTTGCGAAATTCAACTACCTACGAACTCATCCCCAACAAATCATCTCTTGGGATTAACCCAAACTCCGGAAAATCTAGAACAGGAAACCGTCGACCACAAAATCGACGAAAAACTGGACCAAATCAAAACAAATTGTGACTTTTCACAAGCCATCACAAGGGAGTTTGTGAGCATAATCTAAGAGATCATCGCCCAATTTCAACCCAAACTCTAGGAAAATTAGATCACAGCCAAGAACACGAAAAACTCCCCAAAAACGAAATTCGTTCAATTTCTTCGTGCTCGATTTGATTCAATCAAATTCACTTAAGGGGTAGCATCAACTCATGTCATAGCACGAGTCTGAGCAAAAAAGAACGAACTAAATCGGTCTCAAAATGAAGAATGGAAGCAAGAACGGGGAGGGGAAAACTAAGAAAAAAAGCTGCAAAAATAAAATCACAGACACAATCCCTATAACACGAATTGGTAGTGTCATTGTCAATTGGTGCCGTCCTTTCACAGATAAACACAGAGAAAGCAAACATTGGAACAACAGGCATTCTAGGCCAAACCCTAGAACAAGAATCGAAGTCATCGAAGGGACGAATCAGAGAGGCAAAAGCTAAATCCTAAAATACAAGAGGAAACAGGAGCACCTAAGACTGCTCTGTGCCAACCGCGGCACCGTCGAGACCCACCGGCACCGGGCACGAGCACCATGAGCGGCCACAGCAGGAGAGGAGGCGGCCCACTGGCCCGCCATGATTTGCTCCTTCACTGTCTCCGCCTTCCTGAGCTCAAATTAAAATAAAATGGGGTCGCATGTGGATGCGATGGGTGCGCTAAACGTCAAGAGAGGCAAATGGTGGTGTGTGTGTGTTGCTGCCTTACTTGTTTGCTTCGTCGCCGGGCGTTGTCGTCCAGCCTCGACACGCTCAGGAGCAGCGGCGTGTAGGAGAGCTGCACCAGCCAGAGCGCACTTTGATCAGCTGTGCTGTCCATTCATTTGCGATTTGTCCACAGACACGAGAAATGGCCAATCTCACCGTGAAATCCTCCGGCGAGATCCAGCTATCCCCAAGCGCCACACCTGCCACAGACGGAACGAGAATTTCACTTCATCGATCGGATGGAAGTGGAACCACCTTTAGGTTATGTACCTCCGAGCGTGATGTTGAGCTCGCCGGCGCGGACGGCCCGGGCGACGGACGCGCCGAGCGTGGCGGCGTACTTGCCGCCGTAGGACTCGGCGACCAGGAAAAGCGGGCTGGTCGCCAGGGTGGGCACCTCCTTCACCAGCGCCCTGACCACCGTGGTCATGTCCGCGGCCTGCTGCCAGTCGCTGGTCACGAACAGGCTGTCGTCCTCCACGTAGCTGTACCCTGTGCCGACCGGGTTGTCCTGCGCGGCGCCCGGCATGAAAGTCGTCGGTCAGCGTCAGCGAGGACTATGTAAATAAACATCAGTACATCACGATGGCAAAAGGTGTAGAAGAAGTGGGGCAGACAGAATAGAGAGGGAGCCCCCATCAGCTATGGCTGCATCTTTCAGTCTGACTCACCACAAAGATGAGGTCGGCCTTCTGGAGCCACGTCGAGTTGCGCGGCTTCAGGTCCACGTCCAGCGGCCCCATCTCCAGGAAGTTGCCGAGCCCGACCCCGGACGCGCCCTGCATAGCACGGTCGTCGATCACTCGTCAGGCCGTGTTCGATCGTTCTCGTGAAGCAGAGCAGAGGACCCTGTGCCCAAGTTGTGGTGTGAGGAGGAGAGAGATAGGGCAGCAGCTAGCTGTGTACCGGACCGCCCTGCAGCCAGAGAACGGTCGGCCATGGCGTGGACGGCGTCGACGTTCTCTGCGGGCTCTTGTAGTACCACCAGAACAGGTGCGCCTCTGCGAAGCAAGCACAGATATAGCTTCGCCTTCAACGGAGGAAATGAAGAAAGGTTTTGATACGCGACGAGCGAGAGAGAGGAGTGTTACGTACTTGACCGGACCGCGGCCTGCTAGTTCTCCTCCAGCGCGGCCTTCTAGTCGTCCCTCTGCGCGACCGCAGCTTGCCGAGGTTGGGCTTTTGTACGCCGTCGCGCGTGGTCTGCCTCCTCCGCACGCACGCAGACCAAGTGGGGTCGCTCGATTTCTCCGATTTAAATTTGGAGGAACGGAGCGAACCTGGGTCTACGCGGAACATTCCCCTATTGGGATGAACCCAACCCACAGGCTCCTCAAACCAAACAGCCCAAAAAAAACAGGTTCAACCCAACCCAACCCGTTTGGACCGTCCAACCAAACACATGCTCAAAATTTCTACTAAACCTTCATTTCTGGAGGCTAGATGACCATACTTTTCTGTTTTATCTATCCCAATACCCGTGCTCATCCATATTGCTCATGCGCTCTACTGCTCGCTGCCTCCTCCTCCCTGGTGCGTCTCTCTCTCTCTCTCTCTCTCTCTCTCTCTTGTGTGTGTGTGTGCGCGAGCGCGCGCCCCATCTCCCTTGGTGTTGCCTCCGCCTCGGTGTGGCCCCTTCCCCCTTGGCGCACCCCTTCCTCCTCAGCACAACCTTCGCTTCCCTTAGCATGGCCCCATCCTCCTAAAGCAACTACACTCCGACATGATCTCCTCCTGCCTAGCACGACCTTCCTTTCCCAGGTGCTGCCCTCTCTCCTAGCGTGGCCCCTTCACCCCATGTGGCCCCTTAACCCTTAGCGCCACCTCCTCCACCCTGGCACAACCCCTTTCTCGTTGACGTAGCCTCCTCTTCCCCTAGCATGGCCCCTCCTATTGGAGCGGCTACACCTTGACATGACCTCCTCCTTGGCATGGGCCCTTTTTCCTGGCGCAGACCCCTCCTCCTGGCGAGGCCGCACACCTGCATCCACCGTCCTTCCATCCTCATTTCCAAGGTTAATCAAATTTCCCTTTCCTGCAATTTTGAATTGCATTCTCGGTTCAAAGTTGCATTTGCATTTCATAATTTATATACATACCAATACATTCTGGTAATCTTTTAATTCTATATGGTTTTCACTGATGATGTCCATTCATAACTCCACATAGTTTGATTTGAATATTTGTCATTTGTATAAACTTGTGTGCTTCAGTTCACATTAGTGGATTTGAAATACCTCGTTTGAATTTGAATATTAGTCATTTGTAGAAACACTTAGAATTATTGTTTGAATTTATGTTGGGTCAAATATTTGAATATTTGTTGCATTGTGGGTCACACGAGAGCAATTATATTGCTAGCAGAAGTTTACATACTGATTAATTCATCTTGTTTTTTCTGATTGCAATAGTATGTATTCTTTTTTTTGCGAGACCCAGTTACAGACACAGACGCTCACACACGAGCGCACATTCACCCCTATGAACGCACGCACCCTACCCATATGAGCACCTCCGAAGAACTGAGCTATACAAGCGCGTCGCCTACCACTGAAAGATTAGTGTCGTTAAATTCTGGAATAAATTCAGGAAAATGCGAACACCCGCGTCAAGTCAGGGACTTGCGCCCTGTTCGTTTGGGCTGGTTTGACTTATAAGCCAGGACTGAAAGTACTGTTGGCTGGTTTGGTGTGAGAGAGAAATACGGTTCGTTGGCTGATAAGCCAAATACGACCAAGCGAACAAGCTGTTGAACCCGGGTGGACAGGTTCCATCACAAGGAACCCAACCAGCTGAGCGCACAATAGTATGTATTCAAGCCCAAATTTTACATGCATGTGTATGACCACGTGCTCCATCTTCCCATACTTCTACTAAGAGTTTTTATGCACTTGTAGAGGGAAGTTTCTTTTTTTTTACACCACGGTAGAGGGAAATTGCTTGGACGACACGAGCAGAGTGTGGAGGACCTAAGAAGTTCTCTCTAGCTAGGCGCATGTGTGATGTCATGTTTATGAGCTGTTGTGTGTCCACATTGTGACGTTTCAATTGGCAACAAATAGGCCAAAAGCTAATACAAATCGATGTGATCGATAAGCGATAGTGGGGTTACGACGACGACAAAACATTTAGAATCTTTCCCGCAAAAGAAAAAAATACTGGTGGAGCCAAAACTCCTGCGTCTGAGTTTGTTCCATCTCGTGTTCTCGTGCCGCCTGCAGCCTGCTTGTGCATGCGTACGTAATGCAATGCCCATCTGAATCGTGGCGCAAGTTATGTGGATTTTTGTTGGGGAAAATTGCAGCGTACGCTACTTCTTTCCGCTAGATCTGGCTTGTTTTCCGGTCTGGATCCCCTGTCTTCAGTGTGGTATACTCCAGTCGTGTAACGTGAGAAATACTCTAAGAGCCCATTTATATCCTTCTTATAGAAATAATTTTTTTGGTAAAAATATACTCCAATAACTGTTTTTAATTAAATTTCCAAATATATACATCCTCTATTTTGATTTTATCGCTAGCCAAAAATAAAGAGCAGGGATGAACCTCTAGAGCATGTATAAGATATACAAAAACTATTAGAGAGCGAAAAAAAATATAAAGAGTGATTTATATTAAATGACTCTCTAAATGATAATTTAGAAAGTGAATTTAAAAGGACTCTTGGAGATGCTCTGCATGTTTTTTGTGCTATTTCTACAGTGCAACCGTACATGTGCATAGCTTATTTATTGGGACGGAACTTAGAAGGTTACAACACCACATTACTAGATTGAGGGTTTACTCTCGCTTCTAAATTAAAAGTCGCTATGATTTATTTGGTACACATCGAATTTGCCATGTATCTAGATATACATTATTTATAGATACAAAGTAAATTCGATGAATAAAAAAAAGTCAAAGCGGCTTATAATTTGGAATAAAGGGAGTACATAGGACGGGAAAAATACAGTGGAGACAGTCCATAGATCGATGATAGGCGCCTATTATGGATTTTGCGGCACATAAGCATGTGCATGCATCTAATTACGTAAAAAATACATTTGGTGTATACGTATGAGCACGTGTCATGAATCTATGGTTACTCCATGGGAACTATTCCCACTAAGGGCATGTTCGGTTACCTTGGAATGGACACCTAGAAGCGATTCTCAGCCCGTAACGCTTGTCTAATTTGTATAACATTGATCGCCAGGAATAATTCCTGGCCTCATTGCACACCAACCTAACATGCCCTAAACTTTTTTTTTTTTCTGAATTCCTTCTAGCTCTTTAGGCCTCCTTTGGAATGGACGCAAGACTATGAAAAACAAAAAAATTGGTAGGAATATGTATATATACAAAGTAGATGATTCAAAAAACATAAGAATTTTATAGGAACAACACATGCATCGCGCAGCTTGCCTCGATTCTTCATATAATTCAAAAAACAATAAATGAAGTTTGTGTGCTAGACGTTTTGTTTTCTTCTTTTAGATAGATGAAATTTTATTCGAGTCTGTCGGATACCGTGAGAAGGGGTACCCCAAGCAAAATCCAAAAAACGACTGCTTAGATTTCAGAAGACCGAAACCAATTAAATCAGCTTTGGCCTCGGCCGATTCTCCGACGACTCGCCCGAGGCCTCGTCACCGCGGGCCTCGGCCGATTCTCCGACTCGCCCGAGGCCTCATCACCGCGGGCCTCGGTCGATTCCCCGCCAGAGGCCTCGGCCGAGGCCACCGACCCTCCGTCTCGCGCAAGGCGGGCTCGGCAGCACGCCGCTACCTCTTCCTTCTCCCGTCCTTCCGCAAACGTCAGGTGTCAGCATTAACTCAAGCTAATCTGCGCCTCGACAATACCGCATGCATGCCCAAGACAAGCAATGAGAATGGCCGATGGGGACAGAGATGGGATCGCACAGTGGGTTACCCGCCATTGCATACTAACCCCGTGCACGTGGTTGACGCCCATGCCTCATCAGGCCGCCAACTCCCGCTCCAAGGACAACGCAGAGACGGGGAGCCACGTCTGAGCCATCGTGGCCTCGGAATCGCACCAGGAGCAATAATTCCCTCCAAGGCCTCGGCAGCTCGCTCCGAGGGCTCGACACCGAGGACCCATGTCCGCTAAAGCCCCCCGCGATGGCTTGGCCTCGCACCTACAGAGCCACGCCCCTCACGACGTCGTCACGCGATGGCCCGTGACGTCCCCGGATCGGGCAGGGTTACCCGTCACTATGCTATCCACCGTAGTACACATAGTTGACACCCATGCCTCACTTTGGCCGCCAACTCCTGCTCCAAGGACAACGCAGCATGGGGAGCCACGTCTGGCCTCCATGTGGCCTCCGAATCGCACTCAGGCCAATAACTCCCCCAAGGCCTCGACAGTTTGCTTTCACGGGCTCGGGCAACCTAAGGGTCCATGACCACCGAGCCCCCACGATGGCTCGGCCGGCAGCATTCGCAGAGCCGCTGCTCCCACGACGTCATTACACGGCGACCCAAGACGTCGCCCGCCATGTCCTCCATCGATGGAGCCCCACGACGACAGCTAAGACCGAAGTCCGACCAGCATGTCACTTCCGCACGACAAGGACGGGCCACTCCATCGACCATACCACAACAGAGAGGCGACTACTGTGGCTCGGACACGCCACCCCATTTTCTGAAGCGCTTATGTAGCACTGCAGCACGATCGGTCCTCCCTTAGAGTATAAAAGGGAGGGACTGGGGCCATTTCTAGGGAGAAAAAGGAACAGGCCGATAGCACTGCAGCGCTCATATCTTTGCTTGGGAACAACG